CAAGAGCTTTGAAATCTTCAGAGAACATAAGTTGCACATACAGCAACTACTACAAATTATTTGAAAGTTCTACTTCAACAAAGTGTCTAGTAAATTTGCCTTTTTGACGTCAAAATCAGCAATTTATCGAAAACAGGGCAAACTTGGGAAATGGCGATGATAGGTCAAATAGGCATTATGGATATGCATAAAATTAATGTGGATATGACTCAATTCATATAGCAGTTTTAATTTGTGCGGCCAATTTTGACGGACGGACGGACCAATGGACGGATGGACGGACCAATGACGCCTGAAAAATCCAAAAAGCTCACTGTGTTAGCCAAAGATAACTGATTACTGTACAGTATGTCAACAATCCCAGAAAAATTTCAGAGCTCGTCTCATGAGAGGTTGTAGCCATTTTGAGCACATTTTTATATGGGTAGAAAATGAGTAATATATAAGCCACAGTGATGAAACTTGCTCAACTCAAAGAATATTGAACCAAATCTATTTATGCCAAAAAAGGATTTTTCAAGTGTTCTCCCTGTCATAGCCATTGGTACATAAAGCTATCATTTCACTATATATAGGTTGGTCAAAAAATGGAAACTCTTACACCATTTTCCTCATATCTTTGTCATTTTTAAAAATAACTCCCTGATATTTTACACATTTGTACATCATTCAATTTCCTACCAGTCCACTTTATCATGACCATCAGATTGATAATTTCAATGTTACAGCACTTTAAAGAACATGCCCTAGTTGCCACTTTTGCGCTGTGGGGAAACCTGCATTTGTTGTCCAAAATGTCCCTACCTGGGGATATAGCATAGATAGAGTGTATAAGAATGACCTCAGGACAATTGCAAACATCAAAAGTGAGATCATCCGTGTCATTCAGGCCATACCTGCTGAGGAATGCATTCGGGTCATTGATACTTGTGCAGGTTTGCCTACAGTGCGAGGATGGCCAAACCTGAAGCATGTTATTCAAAGTGCTGTAAAATTATGACTATAAGTCTGATGGTCATGAAATATGGTAGGGTGGTAGGAAATTGAATGAGGTACATATGTGTGAAATATCAGGGAGTAATTTTTTAAAATGACAAAGATATAAGGAAAATGGGTTTCCATTTTTTGACCACCCTGTATATATGTATTACATCATAAGCTCAATCGTGAGCGATCACAATGAATATAAGCTTATATAACAAAAGGGCTAGCCATATCTCTTACATCACAATAAATATTGACTAATTTCAGAATTTGTACACTCTATTTATTTATATCATGAACTTTAACTTTTCAGAAAGCCAACTTGATTAAAAAAACAGTTTATCTGCAAGACCTATGTTAACTGCGATAGACCAGGGAGTAGAACTCATATGAAAAAAAACACTTCAATATGAAGGTCCAAGCAATGACAATTGGCATGGCGCTTTATTTATGAATTTCTTTGAGTGCATCTATTCTCAGAGAATAGATGTGGATGCTCCACCAAGAGACATCATGATAAACTTGTTCAAACTGGCGAAGGACAGTAACATTAATGCTACCAATAGCCTTATCTCAAGTCAACACACCAGATCAAATCAGAAATGAATTGCAAAATGTGTTGAGACAGAGAATTGCAAAGTTTTGAATTTTAATCAAGAAACTTTGCATGTCAATTAGTAAATGGTGTTGTGAATAATGATAATTTATTCCGTAATAACATGTTTTCCCCGGGAAATCAACAAGGAATATAACTGATATCCTAAAGATCCCATATCAGACAAAATAATCAGATCCCGTATTAGATCCCGTATCACCCAAAATCCTGTATCAGATCCTGTATCAGAATTATTCCTGGGGATTTCTCTTGATTTTTGCATTTTTTGTTCTATTTTCAACTACTTATACAATTTCAAAATGTTATATGATATTAATCTTTGTATCATTCTATGTCATCGTCAGTGAATGGTGACAAATCAAACTTGAAAATGAATAACTTCAGAAAAATATTATGGAATAATTAGGTTATTTATGGTCATGATGGAATATGACCATAAATAAACTCGGCTATCGCCCTCAGTCAATATCATATTTTCCCTTGAAAAAAAAAATAACATCCGGGAATATTTCTCTGGATAACAAGTCAAGAGCAAAGAATTTTAAAACATCACATGGGTTTAAATTCCACGACATTCTTAATATAAAAATATCGAATCTTACATGATTTACGCAAAATGATACATGTATATGATAAAAGCTTTATGTTACACACATCCTAGTTTTCTGCGAAAATTGCAAATTCTGCGCAGAAATTCTGCATGAAAAAGTCAAATTCTGTGCCAAATTCCCAAAATTCTGCAAGCAATGGCTTCATTTGAACTATCACGAAATTGCAGGGAATTCAAATTTCGTGACATATTAGACGTAATCTTTAAGTGCAAAAGCCGAAAGTTGGAGAATTTCAAACATTTTTCACATTTCCCCTTTGAAATCCTATAACACCAGTTTTTGGTGACATATGACTGTGTAAGTTGTCAAAGTGAGTGACAAATATGAGATGAGATGAGGTGGTTCACTGGAAAAATCATGTTTTCTGCGGAATTCTGTGCAAAAAAATCAAATTCTGCAAAAATTTTGAAAACCAAAATTC